GCCCCCGAGGCCAGCTCCGCAAGTACCCGTCCTTCCTCCGTGGGGATGGGCCCCACCTCCAACTCCCTCGACCTCTACAAAGACCGCTCCTTCCAGCAGGCCACCCTCTCCTCCATCAATTCCTACTTGTCCTCCCACTCTCTGCAAATCTTCCTCAAATTCCCAATCCCCTCCGCCAAGGAAATCACCGAAACCTTAAAATTCCTCGTCGCCCGCCTTGACTACCCTAACCCCAAGCTCGAAGACGACCTCCCCGTCATACTCAAATTCCTCAAATGCCCCTTCAAGCCCAACAAGTCCGTGCTCCGAAACCCTACCGTCAACCACCACCAGTGGCCTACTTTGCTCGCCGTCATCCACTGGCTCTTCCAGATTGTGCTCTACAACGATCATCTCGCTTCCAATTCCGGCGCCTTCGTCGACAACAACGCCATGTCTGCGTACGCGCTGGAGAGCTATTCGTATTATATTAGCGGGGATGATGATTCCGTGGAGGCGTTGGATCGGCAGTTCTTGGAGAAGTTGGAGACGGAGAGGGAGAATGCGGAGGAGAGTATTAGGGTTTTGGAGGCGACCGCGGCGGAGCTGGAGGGGAAGATGGAGGAGATGAGGTCGGGGCCTTCCAAGAGGGAGGCGCTGGAGAAGGAGAGGGGTGTGTTGGAGCAGGATGTGAACAAGTTCAATGAAATGATTGGGAGTCTGGCAAAGAGTGTCGCGAAATTGGAGGCCGTTTTGGAGGCAAAAGAGAAGGAGTTGGAGGCCAAAGTGGCGGACACTCGGAGGATTTGCGAGGAGAATGAGGAGTTGAAGAAGAGGGTGGAATTGCAGACCTTCAATGCCAGGGACGTGGATAGAATGAAGAGGGAATTGCAGGCTGTGGAGAGGGATATAGGTGAAGCCGAGCTGGCGAGGAATGCGTGGGAGGAGAAGGCTTGGGATCTTGATACCATGCTCAGCCATAAGTTTAAGGAGCTTGAGACTTTGGCTATGGAATGCAACCAGGCTATGAGGAGGTTTGTCCTCCTTATCATGTGATTTTTAGTGTTGCCAATTGATTTATGAAATTTTGTTGCATAATGCATGAAAATGATAAGTTGATCTAGATGTTCATGGACCCATTAAGCACTTTACCTTGGGCATTGATTTGTTTGAAGGTGTTTGCTTACTCTTTTCGTGGGTCATCTATGCCTTACAAATATTCTTTAGGTTGACTAAAACATCCAAGATAGTTTTCATGAATTGCCACATGTTTTAGCCGCTTTTTAAGTTGAGATAAGTAATTATTGTTCTTTTCCTTGTTTGTTTATGTCAGATCTTATTTCTTGAAGTTTTAATTATATTGGTACTATGAATGAACCAAAAAAGACGCAGTCTAAGTTTGTTTGATTTTTTGTTTTAATTGCTTGCTGGCTAATGACAGTTGACAGTGCCATTTCGACGATTTTACTCATCTTTGTATGCAATCGTTCTCTTTTTGGTGGTAGCAGGTTGAAACTTGGTAATGGCTTTCAGTATGTATTGAATGCTAAGGGATCAACACCAGCTGATGTGATGGGGATTGACTACAAATTAACATTAAAGCCAGCACTTAACTCTTACTCTGATGATATAAAGAAAAGCTCTGTGGAAAAACTGGAAGAGTTGATTTCCCTTCAGCAACAGTCAAGTGAACTTTCTGCTACAATTGAGGGAAAAAGAAATTTTATAGCGACACTTCAATCTCATATTGACGAAGTAAGTGGATCAACACTAATCCTTATACAGATTAATTTTTTCCGCATAGGAAGGGGCTGAGTTCTTTATTAGTGTAAGGTATTATCGTTTTCTTGTTAGGTTATTTGAAAAGTGCTGTGGTGAAGCCTTACCATTATGTTTTAGTTCGGTTTTGCATACTGGTCTTGATGCTTCTTTCTGGTTTTATTGTTTTGGCCCTTATCTACATAAGTTTTTATGCACCAAATTCTTAACCTTAGCAAATTTATTTTGTGTCTTCTAGTAATGTATAAGACTTCATCCTGTCAAGTATTAGGTATATATTGATGAACATTTAGAACGTAGGCTGTTCTATGAAATTTAAAGATGAACAAATGGTTGAGTGGTTGGAATTGAACCCTGGTCCGCTGGTTTTCTTTTGATAATTTTTTAGCCCCTGGGTTTCTGCTAATGGATCCTGTTGTTTTTAGCCGTAGGATTGTTGTTTTTGTTGAACAAGTTATCTCTCCATCTTATTATGTCCAGCTATGATGTTACACATTAGTTTTATAAACTGATGTTACTCCCCAGTGCATTGCTATGCTCTGAGCTTGAATTATTGCTACCAAGTTGAGCATAATGAAGTCCGATTGATTACTGTTGTATGTCTAACCAAGTAAAAAATCACTGTAACTGTCATGATTATTTGCATTTGTGACATAAACTAGCATTAAAAACAAATTATTTAGGAGAATAAGTCACATTTCTTGTACTTATGGGCAATCTGATGCCACTGGGTTTTATGCATGTATTGGCAACTATCAGAAATTTCTGGTTATATATTATTTAAAAGCAATGCCTTCAGTTTGTTGATATTGGCTTGGATAGAATGGTTTCTGGAAGTTGGTATTTCTCTTATAGAAGAAAGGGAGGACCATTTCCAAATATTGATCCTTTGGCAACTTTTGGAAACCAACCTTACTTTTGAAGCATCTTGTGGTTTTTTAATTATTTAATTATTTATTTTTTATGGTTAGACGTTAGAAACTTGTGGTGATAAATGACCTCAGTTAATCTAATTGGTTATTGCTGCACTGCGGTTTGGAGGAAAGAGATGGTATTTGCAAGGGTTTTGTTTTGATTTCATATTTTACTCATGAATAATTTATCCATCAGGTGGAAGCTCAACTTAATTTGTTGAAGAAAGAGACGCATGACTACACTTACAGATGTGCAATTGAAGCCAGACAGATGATGGACGATGTTCAAATGGAGGCTCATAACTTGGATATTTTGGAAAGAGACGCAGAAGAGATTCTGAAGGTATTGCTACTTATTTCTTGGACAATTAAATTTAAGGTTTCAATTTACTTGTTAATGGAAATTTGTCAAGCTTTAACTCCTAATAAATTTTATTTTTCTCGCAGACCTCCAAATTGAAATTGCAGGAGACAATCAAACAAACTGAAGAAGAAACGAAGAAGTGCGCTTATGAACTCATGACTGTTATTGACTCGGTCTCAAAGCACAAAGAATATGTGCAGTCTAAGATTTTAGAAATGAGGAGAGATGTCTCAGAAACTGCTGTTGCGGTATCTGATGCTCACAAAGGTTCATTGCAATCCCAATTTGGCTTTCTGTCTCATGCAAACTAGCAATAGGAAACAACGCTCCAATTTGTTTCTCTGTCTCAAGCCACTGTCTTGCTTGCTGCTTATCTGGTATTTTATATGCTCGTAAAAGTACCGCCGCGATATCATCTGATTGGTAAAAACTGTGATCTTAACTAATTTAGTGATCTTTGTAACTTATTTTCATCAATGGAACTAATCAGATGGGGAAATAGTTCACAATTTACAATTCGGATTTAGGTTGTCAACTGAATAGGAGATTGTGGTATTCTGAGTTTGTATGGTAGCCGTATTTGTGGATCTTACAAAGCTTTACCATGTCAACATATATTGGAGCTGAATCTGATGTCCTTTCAAGCTAAGTTTTTAATTTTTATAGACTCTTTGTCCAGCTCATAGAAGATTTACAGCACTTTTCTTGTTACAAGGGAAACAAGATTAATAGCTTTTATTGACACTTGAAAGATAATGTTGATATACCTAGCTTAGATATTAAATAAAATTTTATTTTTGGCCAGGAAATGAAATTAGGGGAATGCTAGCAACCTTCTCTTTAACTTTCTCTTTTGGACCGTCTCCCTTCTCCTAATGACATGTGTCATTTTCTCTACACTTAAAACAATGACATTAATGCATTAGACAATATATCTTTTGTTCCCAAATTTACCCTTATTAAATTTATTAACTTTATATTTCCTTACAAATTTTAAAAATAAACACTAAAAGTTCAATCAAATAAATATTTGAAAATAAAAACGAATTATACTTCCCTAAAACAAAACTTTTTTCTTTTTTCCAAAAATAAGTTTTTCAATTTTCCAAAAATAAGTTTTTCAATAAAACTGTTAAAATTTATGGAAATAAAAAAAAACAGATAAATATTTTTTAAAATTAATGAACATTCTAATTGATTGAAAAAGTTAAAAGATAAAAAGAAACTATTATAAAAAAAATAAAAAATAAATAAAAAAATAAAACCCAAACCCATTACACCATCTCTCTCTCTCTCTCACCCAAAACCCAGTCCCCTCCCTGGCCTCGAAGAAGTGCGCTTATGAACTCATGACTGTTATTGACTCGGTCTCAAAGCACAAAGAATATGTGCAGTCTAAGATTTTAGAAATGAGGAGAGATGTCTCAGAAACTGCTGTTGCGGTATCTGATGCTCACAAAGGTTCATTGCAATCCCAATTTGGCTTTCTGTCTCATGCAAACTAGCAATAGGAAACAACGCTCCAATTTGTTTCTCTGTCTCAAGCCACTGTCTTGCTTGCTGCTTATCTGGTATTTTATATGCTCGTAAAAGTACCGCCGCGATATCATCTGATTGGTAAAAACTGTGATCTTAACTAATTTAGTGATCTTTGTAACTTATTTTCATCAATGGAACTAATCAGATGGGGAAATAGTTCACAATTTACAATTCGGATTTAGGTTGTCAACTGAATAGGAGATTGTGGTATTCTGAGTTTGTATGGTAGCCGTATTTGTGGATCTTACAAAGCTTTACCATGTCAACATATATTGGAGCTGAATCTGATGTCCTTTCAAGCTAAGTTTTTAATTTTTATAAACTCTTTGTCCAGCTCATAGAAGATTTACAGCACTTTTCTTGTTACAAGGGAAACAAGATTAATGGCTTTTATTGACACTTGAAAGATAATGTTGATATACCTAGCTTAGATATTAAATAAAATTTTATTTTTGGCCAGGAAATGAAATTATGTCCAAGGACAATTGGGAAAAGTTATAAAACAGAAGGAAAATAAAAATTGGAAATTAGAGAACTACGCTAGGGCTGTCACCACTAGCTGTGCAATTAAATCAATTTGAACCTAAAATTTTGAGCAACTTGGTGGTCATAATTGTTAAATAAAGTGTATTAACGAAGAGGCGAAATTAAAGTCTCTCATAATCCAAGAGCAGTTAACCTTTGAAGTCCATCCTTCAAATCTTGCCCAATTCGTCTCAGTGACAACAATTTCTTGAAATGGACTCATCAACTCCCCCTAAAAAATCCCGATTTCTATACAAATCATACAAATGATCCATATTTTCCTTCATGACTTTGTCCCATTCTAGATGAACTCCTGTCTTTTTCACTCTCACAAAATCATTATCAGGCCTTACAAGAATCGATACGTGGTCACCGCCTTCCAAACGGAGCACATCGTTTGACAATTGTCCCTGCCAAAGATAATGGTCTTCAAGTAAGGAGACTGATGCTATCCTGGCGTGCAAAGCAGTTCGCCTGGTAAAATTTTTAACAATAATGACTATACGACGTTCAGAATCTTCAAGTTCTAGATAATGCCAATAAGACCTTCTTGAGAATCTTGAGTAAACGAAGCATATCGTCAACCCTTTTAAATCACGACCCATGTTTCTTTGAGGAACTTCAAAGAAGACGAAATTGTCCACATTATTGACGAATTTGAACCACTCAGGAATATCATAAATTCCATTCAAATAAATTCCACCAAATCCGCAAGAAGTCCATCTCTGCACACCAGAAGCAAGACAGTCTTATGCATGCTTGCATATATCATTACATGGGCCGCATCTGCAGCTGTGCCTCGAGAGAGAGAGAGAGAGAGAGAGACCTGTAGGATGTTGTTCCTAAAATCAACAGTCAGATTGGTGCAGCCTTCCATATGAATCCTTGTCATGGAGTTTAACGACTTATCCAAGCCTGGAACCTCTGTGAGTTTGAACGAATCACAGAGATACAATTCTCTCATATTCGACATTTCTGAAAAATCTGGAATTGTTTCCAATTCTGGGCAGCCATTTGCTTTCAGAACACACAAATTCTTTGGTAAATCTGGGATTGCACGAAGGTCTCTGCATGCATTTAAACACAAGACCTTGAGCTTTGAAAGACCAGCGAGACTTGGTAGGCTACGAAAGTAATTGTCTACAAGAAGCAGATGTTCTAAGGATAGGCTACATAGATCCTTAGGGATTGCATCCTCAGTTAACCGCCAGCAGCCTGCAAGACATAACTAAAGAGTTTAAGCCATGTAACGAAAGGGGTAAAAGATGGAATTTCAAAATTCTCACCATATAGAGATAAAATTCTCAACTTCTTCAATTTTACCATGGAAGATGGAATTTGTCTGATGCCTGTCTTATCTGCTTCTAAAATTGTCAATGATACCATGTCCCCTAAGCCCTCAGCCAACTTTACAAATCTCCTACACTTATTCAGTATAAGAGTTTCAATAGACTTGGATTTATAGAAATTCAGTGGGAGATCCTCTAGATCGCTGCAGCCTTCAAGATTTACCAAAGAAAGTCTTCCAAGATCCCCGATGGATGAGTGAACCTCAGACAAACTAATACAAAATTGCAATATCAATTCCTCGAGATTTGGGAGTTTTGAAAAGTCTGGTGATTTTGTTAGCTTATAGGATTGGCTGAGATTAAGGATTTTCAAATTCTGATGCAACTGTTACACAAAAACAAAATTAGAATGGAAAATAAAATCCAAAAGGAAGGTCTCTGATACAGAAATTAAACCAAAATGAAGAGAAGGTGAAGTATAATATATGTATAGAACCAGAAGGAAAGAACCAGAGAAGTTGAGATTATTATACCTTGCAATCCTTCCAAACTATTTTGAGTTTGCTATCCTGCAGGTCTAATGCAACTAGTTTTGGTTGCATAGGAAAGTCATCTGGTATGGACTCTAAAGGAAAATAACGCCAGCACAACCATATTAACTTTTTGGGAAAATCTTTGTAGTCTCCAGTGAGCTCTACTTTGCTGAGGTGGAGTAACCTCAGTTTTTTCATCTTGGTAAATGCTTGTGCACTGAATCTGTTCAAATCTAGATCTGAATCTAGATCCGAATCTACATCTGAATCTAGATCCGAATCTACATCCGAATCTACATCTGAATCTAGATCCGAATCTACATCCAAATCCAAATGTAGAGCAACTCCTTCAATTTTTTTAGTTCCCTGTTAACAAAAGATACCGAGTTAGAAAAATGATTTACAGACATGAAAATCCGTGTATGTATTAACCAAAAGGTATAATTAATAGTATTGGACCATGTTACGCCCTATAGTTTGTGTTTGCAATCAAAGCATGCATTTTTTTGTTGGTTATGCCAAATTGAGCTTTGATCTTAGTGGATATAATATAAGAAATGGCAACGGGGTCTCATGTTCAAATTCATATGGCACCGTGGTAATGTGGATTTGTGAGGAACCCTCTTTTACTTTGGTATAGACTATCGCTTGTACTAAAAAAAAAATATTAGAAAATGACAATTTAATTAATTATACACATGGGATACATATGCTTCTCTTGCATGATGCATTCTAAAATTTAATTGGGAAAGTACTTACAGATTCATCGCTCAGTACTTCTATTACGTTTTCACGTTTCCACAATCTACTAAATTTTTCAGGGTCACCTTGGGCATTTTCATAAACGATCCCTCTTCCCATGTCTTGAAGCAAATCATGCATCATCAGCTTGTTTTGCTCACTAATAGTTAGAAGGCACCGTTCAATGAGGACATTGATTCCTATCGGTTGAGCAAAGCCACATCCCTTTAATATTTGTGTTACATAGTCCCTGTCCATTCCTATAAAGAAACAAGATATATCAAGGAATGTCTCTCTCATTTCCTGATCAGGTAGCCCATCAAAGCTTATTTTGAGTATTTTTTGAATTTTTTCAGGAGGACTTCTTTCCAACTTCTCCAAATGGCTTTCCCAGTCCTCTATGGATCTTGTAATCAGAAAAGACCCTACAACTTCAAGTGCTAGTGGCAAGCCTCGACAGTAACGAATTACACGTTTTGAGAGGTCAAGATATTCTTGATTAGGATAACCACTTTCGAAGGCATGCCTACTCAAGAGCTCTAGAGCTTCTTTTTCATCCATTTCTTGAGCCATATATATGCCATCCACTCCAACTTGCTCTAGCAAATGTTGATTTCTTGTTGTTATAACAATTCTACTTCCAGGACCAAACCAATCACGAGTTCTAGCTATTGCTTTTAGTTGCTGTAGATCATCTGCATCGTCAATTATGACAAGTGCTCTTTTACAGCAAAGTCTTTCTCTTATCATATCGATCCCTTTAGCAACAGAGCCAACCTTTATGGAGTCCTTGCTTTTCAAGATATCATTTAGAAGTTGCTCTTGCAAACCAACCAGACCATTAATGGGTTCCCTCACGTTTGCAAGGAAACTCCTACCTTCAAAGATTCGTTCAAATTTGTTATAAATGGTTTTGGCAAGCGTTGTTTTTCCAATGCCGCCCATCCCCAAAATACCAATCATGCGAACAACATCCTTGGAACCTGAATTTTCAATATCAATCATGCGAACAACATCGTTCAGCCGAGAAGTAATTCCGACAAGGTGTTCGTTGTCTAATTGGTATTTGCTGTACAACTGCTTATTAACCACCCCAAGAATTTCGTTGATATACTTTGCTTCATGCCTGGCAATTAAACAAAGAAGCAGAACAAGGTTAAAATTGAGTCCCTAACTTAATAATTTAGAAGGAGCAAATTATTTTCTAACATCAAATGTTAAATGGATCTTAAAGAAGAAGAAAGAATGGATAGTTAAAACCAAACCAAACAAACAAACACCAAAGTTGAAAGTCAAAAAGAAAGAATGCATAGTTAAAACTGTTAGAATTCTTAGTTTGTATATGTATTTTCAGATTAGGAAGAGATGTATTTTCTGGAGATTTCAGCTAGAGAGAATGAAGAGAAATGAGGAAGGCACTGTTCTATTGAATTCTTACAATCTGCAGCTTACATAGTGTGTCTGACAGAGAGAGAAATGTGATTCTCTTCTAACAGAATTACAACTGTCACCCTATTAGGTGCTTACACGTGTCATACCAAATCTAAGCTAGAGAATCCACCTAGACTATGATCTAATGGTTCTCATTACATCATTTAAAATAGACAGAACAGAAAATAGAAAATGACTTCTGCCTAAGAAATCAGGCAGAACAT